TCATGTATTTTTCCAAGATTTGAATTTTCCTATAGAACTTAACGCATGCTCGATTATCCGATATCGTTTTTGTGCTTGAAATCCGTCTGTAAGTAATTTAAGCCAGTTATATTAAGTTTCTAAAAGTAGGTCGAATTCAGAAATTTATCTCGCAAAGGAATAATATTGTATAAAGAAAAAAATGCATAGACCATTTAAATTAAAGCAAATCGATAGGCGATAATTTTTTTTTGCTTAATTTTCACATAAACGTACTAAATGCCTTGAAATTCTACACAAAGATGTTAGAAAAACTTGAAGAATAGGTGGTGTAAAACGACAGTCAATCGTGGAAATTTTAAAATTCAAAATCTATATTTATTTTGCTCAGAAATATTTTAAGTTTCTGGTGACTACTTCACAGCTTCCCCACGCTTTGAAATAAATTCATTAATTCAGTGGAACACCGAGTCCACAACAAATAAGTAAAAGCGTCTCTTTCCCCACGTTCGCCTAAGTTATAAAAATTGCATCTAATTAGAGATTTCAAATTTTGAAAAAGTTTTGAAATTCTAGCAGAAAAATTTCAAATTTTGAGCAAGTTATATGAAATTTTGAAAAATTAGAGGTGTGAAAATTTTTTAAAAATAAACAAAATTGAAGTCTCTGATGACAACATGCGTTTGGCCTGATCGTTCATCAGCGCATCTTTTCCGCTGGCAACCTGATAGTCATACGCTTGTCACAAATATCGTCACAACTTGGCGAATAGTCAAATTGACATGGAAATTCCTCCAGTTTGTTAAATAAGTCATGCATTGCGGTCATTTTGGCACAGGTGTGGACCCTTAACTCGTTGGACACAGGGTATTCCGACCTGGGTTTTAATGGGTTGGGTTTTATTGGGTTTTATTGGGTTTTAATGGGTTGTAAATGAATAAAACCCACTGGGTTTTACCATGTTAAGTGGGTTTTATTTGGGTTTTAATGGGTTTTATTGGGTTTTAATTGAGTTTTACCTTAAAACTGCATTCTAAAAGCTAAATACATCTCCTATACGTTAGAAGACGTTATCTCAATTCACTAAAGCAGTTTATTTCGTTACTATTCTAATATATGAAAATCCGGAACAAATCAACAATTGACTCCATCTTTAGCATCACAGATTTCAAGTGTTATAAAACAAAAATAATTTCCGAATACATACAAAATCCGAATTATTTTTGTTGAGTTATTACACTGAAAACTAATAAAACCCAATAAAACCCATTAAAACCCAATAAAACCCAATAAAACCCATTAAAACCCAAATAAAACCCAATTAACATGGTAAAACCCATTAAAACCCACGGGTTTTATAATTTTTGATTAAAACCCTGGGTTTTTCCAAACCCTGGTTGGTCACCTTGGTATGTTTCCTTGTAAGCAATGATATTTATTATACACGTGTGTGCAGCACTTCAAGTCATTTAGTCCGGTCATGTGAGAATTAACCAAAAAACATTATTGTCCATCGTTTTACTCCGGACTGTACATTCCCTAACTAAGAAGGCCTTCGGATGAAATAAAATATGGTTGATAAATATCTTAAATCCGTAGCCTGCGGTTCGTAAAGTTTGAATGAGGAATAATTAAGGGCTTCGATATGAAAACGAATAATAGAGGAATTAATAACATGTGTGCAATTAAAAAAATCATTTGAATAACCAAAACATCATATTGTTAATGTGCTGGACTTTTTCATTGAAGACAACAAATCAAATATTTCTACCCCTTCAGAAGTTCGAAGTAGTCAAGGATAGCCACAATTCCAGAGAATAGGATGTAAAAGGCCCAGGGTGTCCCACTACAGAACATGTGCAAGGCCATCCATGCTTCAAACAGGAAGACAAAGATTTCCAGCTTTACCCATTCAATTTCGCCACACCGGTCGGACATGGAGAGGAGAAATGGGGGCGTGCAGGGATCCATGGTTAACAGAGCGATGACTGCACATGGCACCGCGGCGACAGTTATCTCCGATAGAGTTATTAACACAACCATCACTTTAGCTTCCAAGGACGTTTTGGTGGTCCCAAAATCTAAAAATTGATAAGTTTCATTGAGAAACCAAAAATAATTAGTGCAGATTGTTGTCGGCCGACTGATAAACTCTGGTCAGTAGTTATTCAATACCAGTTTTCTAACATTGTGTTTGTGGTGTGTGCATTAACGTAAGACTCAATTTTGTCTGCATTTGTTGTGACGAACGGGTCTAGTTATAAAACACCTACCATAAACACCTTACCAGACATATTTTGCATGAACCGATACATCACATACGGGTAGGAACTCTACCTTTAAGAAGATCTTTTTCAAAGGCCAGAATCGAGTTGATGACTTGAATTGGAGTAACATCATAAAAAATATTACATCCGCAACCCATCAGAATTGTGAAGCAGATTAGAAAAGGGAATCCTTGCAATCTTTGCAGTAGTGTAAGCTGACTAAAGCTTAAATGATAGAGGAGGACAAGGAAGTAACCGAATGCAAGGATAGATTGACATTGGAATACTTTCACTCTACGGGGCGATTTAATAACTGCTAGCTTGGCTGACGTAGTGTCAAATTCAAATGGGAGACAACGTAACTTCCGTAATAATTTGAAATTTCGGATTAACAAGGGTAGAAAGTTGTCTGTGTACATGGCGATGAATGAAAAATCAGTGACTTTACGATCTTCCCTACTCAATCCTAAAAATCAAATAATAGATTAAGGGTAATGCGAATGAAGTATTTGATACCAGTATATATGATTAAGTATTTGCTAGATATTAGTTTGAATAAACATGTATTGTAATCCAAATTGCAAGTATGGGGAGCAATTTTGTGTCATAAAAATGTATAACTCCCACTACTAAATAATATTCCGGCTGAATAACACGCAGATCTACTTATAAAACAGTAATGTGATTATTATTGAGACATGTAATCAATTTTTGGTCAACATCCGTTATTTATCCACGTGGATTATTACAACTTTGTTGTCACCCCTGTTTGCTCAAGTGACAAGAAGAACATTACTGGTCAGCCTATAAACTAAATACATAGAATGAATATTTAATAACCAGACTGCTTATAATGATTAAGAGGCATATTCAATCAATTTGCTGGCCAAACTTGCTTGGTTATGTGACGATTAAAAGGAAAAGGCTGTAATATTTAGTTAGAGAACTAATGGCGGACTTGAAATTGGATCGGATTCAATGGATTTGAAATTTCATCATTTTGCTATATTTCAATTATTTTGACTTATTATTAAAAAAAAGGTGGGGTTTTACGTACGCGTATTAGCTCATGGCTCTTGCATACAGACATGATAGGTAGGACAGGTAGATTTTAACTAGGAAGGTTGGGATAGGTTCCATTTGGACAGTTACAATTGCATAATACTACTTATCATATCAGTAGCGTGAATGCAAATCACTGGGTTGGAGAAAACACGTATCACTCATCAGCATGTACCGTACCGGAGTCTTTAGCCCAGATAGGAGTCAGCTTCTGCCTTATTCAGGCACTGACTATCCCCAAGTAGACTACTTTCCAGTACGCTGATGTTGATTTACCAAAAACTCCAACCACCCAATTTCGAAACAGGGACCTCTGAGGAAAGAGATGGAAGGTCTAACCACTCAGCTATGACCCCGGCCCATGACTTATTATTAATTATCCATGAATATGTGCTCTACGACAGACACACACCTTGTCAATTGACAATTATGAATATCTTAAGCCATATACATGTACATGTACATATCGTCGTATTAATTCTAAAACGACGTAAGTGCAGTCGTGTGTTAATCCGAAAAAGACGTAAGTGCAGTCGTGTGTTAATCCGAAAAAGACGTAAGTACACAATAAAATCTTGTAAAAGGACGTAAGTGCAATTATAATTTTAACAACAGGTCAGTTTTTTCAAAACTAATTATATTTAAGTAAGTTTAAAATTTAAATTTAAATATGTATATTATATTTATTGAAGTAAATCTTTCATCTTCATCAATAATTCCATTAATAAATAAACTGCGGCAACGCACGGTACACAAGTAGCGCAAAAATACTGAGAATGCGATACAACAAAGAAAACAAAGATTGCCGAATCTGAATTATGTAAAAATAACAAAATAATTGAGATTTCCTCATTCTATCTTGCCACTCTGAAGAATAATGCATCTTACATGTTTTACTGTTTTATCAATCCTAATTAATAAATCAATCTTATGGTTTTATATCTCCTACGTGTTCGATTCAATATTTGTAAAAATCTCATTTTGCCCTGACCACACCCCCTAGGCTCGAGGGTGTGTGTCACAACTCGGGAACACTTACTTTAACTCTATTTCATCCATGGATTCAATTTTTGTAAAAGCCTCATTTTGCTCTGACCACACGCCATGGGAGCGAGGGGGTGTGATCCGATTGGCCCCAAAATATGACGGGATCCTCCCCGTAGGGTCATACGTATGATTCCGCAAACCGAGATTTTGAAATTTCACAACCAATAGTTATATATATACATTCAAAATATATATAATTTAATTTTTGACAAACTCCAAAGAGTTACAAACTTTAATGCATAAATATTTAGCACATTCCAATATATAAATATGTATTTAAACTTACGAAGTAATTTTAAACAAAAACTGACCAGTTGTTAAAGTTATAATTGCACTTACGTCCTTTTACAAGATTTTATTGTGTACTTACGTCTTTTTCAAATTAACACACGACTGCACTTACGTCGTTTTCGAATTAACACACGACTGCACTTACGTCGTTTTCGAATTAATACGACGATATACGTTTTCCACAAATAAAATAGAAAACAAACCTCTTCACTAATTCACAAGCTGGATGGAAACATTTTTTTTAGTTATCAATGATTGAAATAATCTCAAGAATGCAAGTTATCAATTCCGATAAATATAAACATCAGTGCATTAAATTTATTGGATTGTAAATATAAAAACCATCATTTTATATCACGCATGATATACACATTCATTAGATCACGAATTGTATGCAAAAAGCTTTGCAAAACATAAGTTGCCAAAAAATGTGGCAAAAACTATTTCTGGCTGCCTTCCTTGGTCTGGTGGGGTGGACTCTGGGCACTCAAGAGGTTCAACAAGGCATGTATCAAAACACTATAACTGTTTGTAAATTTTTCGCCAGAAATTTTTGCCAATTTAGGAAATATTTAACTAACAACATATAAAATACTTATTTGTCAGACTCCAAGATCCTCGCCTGTTACTATGGCAGTTGGTCCGTCTATCGTCCCAGTAATGGCCAATTTAACGTGGAAGACATCGACCCGAACATCTGCACTCACCTAATTTATGGAACCGTGGGGTTAACTTTGGACGGTGTCATGCAAGTTTTGGACCCATGGAACGATTTGGAGGAGAATGATGGACGAGGTGAGGTCAAATATATGCAAAAGTACTTAGATTTTTGCCATTAGAAAATCGCGTGTATTGCAATTCTTCTAGGCGCCATGCGACGATTCACCAATTTGAAACAGGCCAATCCTAACCTAAAAACACTGCTCGGATTTGGTGGGTGGAACGATTGCGAACCGATTGGAGATGGTTGTGCAAAATATTCAAATGTGAGTAAATCTAAATTTAACATGATTGACAAAAATGCGTGTTAACAATTTCTGCAAGTTTTTAGATGGCTTCCACCCTCGCTAATCGTACACGATTCATCAACAGTGTCGTAACATTTTTGGAAAGTTACAATTTCGACGGATTCGAGCTTGATTGGCAGTAAGTTTAACTAGAAATTTCTTAGTTACTTCTTTATAAAATATTGTGACTTCATGTACTAAAATTAACTCGTGGTCGTCATCAGGTATCCAACATTGAGAGGTGGTCGACCAGAAGATAGGGTATGCTCGCCAATCAAAAAACAATGCCAACTGTCTATCCATATCTCCTAATGACTGATTGAATAAAGGAATAATATTTAACTTTGACAGGCTAATTTTGCCCTGCTTTGTGCCGAGATGAGGACAGAATTTGACTCGCGAGGCTGGCTTCTCACGGCAGCCGTATCTGCAATGGAGCCCATTATCAACGCCGCTTACGATATCCCATCAATTTCACAGTTAGTTATGCATGAGCCAGTTTAAATATGTGCATGTCATTACTCATTTATCTCACATTACTTAAATTGACAGGTCACTTCACTACTTATCTCTCACGGCTTACGACATGTCCGAGGTAACTTATACAAATATACAGATTATAAATCTATTTATGGATTGAACGCATACATACACCGTAAATAAACTTGCGTAAAATTTACTCAAGGTTAAATAAAAAGAGAATAAGCTCAAAAATTGGACAAAATTAGACAAAAAAGGGTTGGATAAATTCTGCCCAATCGTTGTGCCATCCTAATTTTTTAAAATCAACATTAAGTAAATTTTGCACAACTTTTTTTAGAGTATAAATTAGTATTGTGTGTTTTATGTGCAGATTTTGCAAAACTACACACACCACCACGCACCGCATGGACCAATTCCGGAGGACAGTTCGTATCCTGATCGCTACTTCCTTAACGTGGTAAATATGTAAATAGGATTTTTGTTCAATTTCATTATAAATTTACATACTGATCTAACTCAATATTTGATATGTACTTAGCAACATGCCGTAAACCTTTGGCTTAATGGGGGCTGTCCCGCGTTTAAATTAGCTCTCGGAATGTGGACTTACGGGTATGGTTTTATATTGGCGAATGAGGCTGAAAGTGGATTTTACGCCCCGACCAGCAGTCTCATTGATTCTCCACCTTACACGAGAGAACCTGGGATTTGGGGATACAATGAGGTGCATTGTGATACTGAGGGAGTTGAGATATGCAAAAAAATGCGTGAAATATGATGCCATCTTGCATTTTAGATCATTGAGAAACAAGCTACCGAAGCAGGTTGGCGTATTGTGCGGAATCCTTTGGTTATCGGACCTTACGCCGTCCAGGGAAGGAGATGGATTGGTTATGATGACCCCGAAAGTGTGGGCCAACGGGTACATACGATTTGCAACAAGTTAACTTCCTTAATTTTGACTTTTTAGTATTTGTTACACGGTGAAGTAAGCAATTGATGTATGTACAGGTTGAGTACATTCTCGAGAAGGGTTTAGCCGGAGGAATGTTCAGGGCCATTGAGACAGACGACTTTAGAGGACTTCACAGCTCGGAGACGTTTCCACTGCTTAAAGCAGCGAAACGAGGCCTGGCTATGTAGCCTATGACAGAGACGTTAACTTCAAATCTGCAAAGCACTGGTCTTATCTAAGAAAATATTTATGCATAAATACCTATGCAAATTTAGAATATAGTTATTTAGTTATTTTTGCTTCAAAAAGTTTTCAGGCTATCTTCAAGTCAATTTGTACGTTAAGTGTATATGCCAAAAGTAAGATCTTGAGATTATCTTGCAATAAATTATGTATATATTTTCGTGCAAGTTGGTTTTGTGTACTTATCGACATCACTAATTCTGAGCAGGATGTGACTCTATAAATATTTATTATACATGCATAATCAAGTACCTACTTCGGTAGAAATAATTTACTGGTTTACGTACATATCTACTAAATACGCCAAAGTTCCGGTTTGAAAGCCGTTTTGAAAGGTGCGAAATGAACATACAACTTATTTAAGTACTTACATATGCGTCTAAATATTTTTGTGAAGGTTGCATGAAGAAAATGAGTTGAATTTAGAGTCGTTTTAACCTAACAATTTGCAATTTACACGTGCACATTTATGTATGTATGTTCATTCAATAAAACTACTTTGCAATAATACTTATGTATGTAGGTAACTTTTATACGGATACCATGATTACCGATATTTATTATTACTTCCATACCATTTCGCCTTGCTCAAGTCCCCGTACTGTCAATGACTGGAGGAACTTTATAAGTTCCATCACGACGTAGATCGAGCAATTTACTTAGCTTGATTAAATTCTCCTTTCCATGCATGTACATCCAATCTACTCTAATTTGTTTATTCTAAACTTATGAAGTAACAAAATTCACGCGAAGCAAATAAAGACGATCATTCATTTGTAAATTTTTCGTGTTCGAGGCAAGATAAGAATTACAAGTGATATTTTAAAATTATGTTGCCGTAAAGAATATCGCCTAAATTTTCAAATTCGTAAATTTTTCTTTTTCGCCTTGGTCATGTTCTCATCACTGTTTATCGTATTCTGTAATTACGGCTATTACATGGGCGTGGTTCCATTCAAATTCAAACTAAGCAAATTAGGTACCCCGTCTCAGCATAAAAACGGATTACAGACGGTAATTAAAACGCCCAAACATATATAATTTACGCTTATTTTAGATAAATCGGATCTTTACTTTCAGGTAATATGTTCAGCAATTCACGTCGGAATGGCTGCCCGATTAATTGTAACGTCCTACAATGATTTATCAATAAATTTTAAAACGCAATCCAAGGCTATATTTTATTTCAATGTTGTCCAAAACATGTCCTGGATATGGTTTAATTTACTAGTCTCCTGGACAATCTGGAAATATCATGAAAATTTTAAGAAAATGGTTGTGCAATCGTGGGCTTATAATCACATGTACGGAAGCCGAACGGTGAGCTGAACTGATTGCAAATTTTGCAATCCTTCAAAATGTTTAATTGAAGGCACACAAATTGCGAATTGCTACATAGGGCAATTATTATATAGGGTGGTGTAAATGTCTCGCAACAATGGAAAATTTTTTAAAGCCAAAAGAACGTAAATTTCCATTAGTTTTCCATTTTGAATTCAGGTTTCTATTGATATCAATAAAAATCTCAACTCGTAACTATTCAACTCTAATATAAAACAGGGGATATAATCACAAGATTCTTGAAATTGTGAATTTCTGGGAAACAACTTCGGTAACCAATGGAAATTTATGGATTTTTCCTATTTAAAAATTGTCCATTGTGACGAGGCAATGAAACCACCCTGTACTAAAATACAAGTATTTTTAAATTTCAGCCCTCAATTCATGCCCATGTGCTGTGCATTATTCAAATTTCTGTATCGATTCTCACCATCACACTGAAAACATATTTCTCCTGTGGATCAACCACTTTGCTCCCTGCGTGTGTAACCACGATAAAAACGGTTTGGTCTTTTGGAACGTTTAGCGCAGACACAAATTCGAGCTTGCCTATTGCTGACGACTTCCAAAATTTTTACGCTTTCTTCACCATGATCGACATGTCATCTAACATTTGGACTTTGCTGGTCGAAATATTCGGCCAACTATTAATGCTTCTTGGCATCTTTGAACTTCTAAATGGAGCCAAAGCATTTACAACTTCATTATCTGCTGATCCTTTAATTCATTACAAAAACTTGTTCAAAGTGTCTCAAAAACGTTCAGCGCAGATTTTATATCAATGGCGCGAACTAAAATTATTGTCTGATTCAATTAACGCTGTTACGAACGGGATTGTGTTTGTGTTTTGGATTGTTGCCACTTCTTACGTGAGCGGGACGTTTGATCAAGTTACTCGATACGCGTCATGGTTTGATAAATGGTCCAATTTCCATTTTGTTACAATTGTCGGCTTAGTGTTTGGAGTTGCGCCAAAAATTTGCGAAGAGGTAAAGTGAGATTTTAAAGCATAACGGCTCCGGTATTTGTAATATCTTTTTTCTTCATTGAAGGTAGAAAAGTTTCGAGAATTTATATTACGTGGAGAAAACGAGAATCTGTTTTCACTGGATGAGCGTACCCGCCTTTTAGCGGATTTGGATAGGAACCCGGTGGGAATTGGGGGTTCAACCAAGTTTGTCATTAACAATAATTTTTTGGCAAATGTAAGTTAATCAAGTGGATATTACGGATTATTTGATGTTTGTGCACTGCACTTGTGGTGTACATACATATGACGATTATGTTCTGATTTATTTAGATGCTGATGACTCTTCTAACACTTTTCGTTGTCGTGCTGCAAACATAGAAATGCTCAATATATACATATATAAATGCATGTCTTAGGGTTTATGCATTCTCAATGAAGTTGCGTCACATTTACTCAAGATTGAGTAAAACGTGGATGGCTCAAAAATTGTTGTGTCCTCTGTTTTCCTTAACTTTGGATAAATTTTGCCAAGCTCTATTAAAGTGTACATGCATTTCCTCACTGAGGGTCAAATTTTCCGTATTTATGTATTAGGGTTTACCACGTTAGAATATCAATAGCAATTAGCATTATTGTTTTCCAGCTAGGCTGTACAGTAAATTAAATTAGTCAATACCATCCGGAAAATTGTTTTCCTCTTAATTTTTTACTTAATTGGCAACACAAACATTTGTACTCATACTATTTCATATTGTGAAGCAACATACTGCACACTACTTGTTTTTCTGATCAGCACTTAAGATCCTAAGTCAACAGCAGTAAGGAAACGGTTTGATTGATGCAGAAATCTTCAATTACGAGAGGAGTACCCTTATCCACAAAATTCTGTCCAAATTGAATCTTGGTTGCGGTACAAGCCCTAAATTCCTTCCTACACGAGGATTTTATTGGGAGTCGTTTCAACTCGCGATTAAGGCCGGACAACAACTTGGCCGAGTTTGTATTCACTTTCGCCGCCATACTTTCAATGACCAAGTTCATTATCACTGACAAGGGAACATACCGAGGTGTCCAACGAGTTAAGGGTCGACACCTATACCAAAATGACCACAATACATGACTTGTTAAACAAACTGAAGGAATTTCCGTGTAAAATTCACTTTTCCTCAAGTTGTGACGATATTTGTGACGAGCGCATGACCATCGGGTTGCCAGCGGGAGAGGTCAGCCGCTGAACGATCAGATCGAACACAGAGAAGCGTCGTCGTCTTCGTCGTCTTCACGTCGTCATCAGAGATTTCAAATTCTTACAAATTTTGAAAACATCTTGAAATTTTGAAAAAAATTTGAAATTTCTTCAAAATTTCAAAAATTTCTTCAAAATTTCAAAAATTTCTTCAAAATTTCAAAAATTTCTTCAAAATTTCAAAAATTTCTTCAAAATTGCAAAAATTTCTTCAAAATTTCAAAATTTTCTCAAAATTTCAAAATTTCTCAAAATTTCAAAATTTCAAAATGTTCTCAAAATTTCAAAATTTTCTAAAAAATTTTTCAAAATTTTAAGGTGTTTTCAAAATTTGAAAGAATTTGAAATCTCTGATGAGGACAACGCTTCTCTGTGGTCGACCTGATCGTTCAGCGGCCGACCTCTCCCGCTGGCAACCCGATGGTCATGCGCTCGTCCCAAATATCGTCACAACTTGACAAAAAGTGAATTTTACACGGAAATTCCTTCAGTTTGTTTAACAAGTCATGTATTGTGCTCATTTTGGTATAGGTGTCGACCCTTAACTCGTTGGACACCTCGGTATGTTCCCTTGTGAGTCGACTACAAGAAGTGGAAAGATTATGAAACTAGGCAGCGGAATCTTAGAATACAACTTGATGGAAACGAATTGTGTGAAAATTTGAATTTGTGGAACGACACCAATCATGGCGGGGACAAGTTGTCCTTGCGTCGCATTGTTGAGGGTTTTGTTGATCAATCGGATACATCGGTAAGTTTGTAGGCATTTGGTGACACGAATTTCAAATGCTTTGAAATCGGGAAGGTAATATAGTCTACGTCTATGGTTGGCTAAGTGTATATTTAAAGCAGCAATTTAAATGTTCAAGAGAGTTAAAATCCAAGTCTTTCAATTTTTAACCGCCCATGTCCTGTAGTATAAGTGTGTGCCTAAATACGTAATTATTTTGCATTTGTTTATTTAATTCTTGTGTAATCGTAGCGGGAAGTCAATATTACCGTTGGTTGTTTGAACGAAGAAATATGAATGTATGTAAGTATTTAAATAAATATGTACATAGCTAATGTTAATTTGCCAATACATTTGTACACGTATGGTATGGTCACACTTTATACATTTTTATAAATATAAGTAGTCAGTAATTCGATTCGGAGAATTCAATTGAGTCAACATACATGTCTAAATGCTCGTAAATTATTTAAGGAAACTTCCTCAAAATTTTTCCATCAGTTATGTATTTAAAACACATTTGACTGGAAACTCTAACTCGTATCGGCCTTGATAAAGAAACAAATAATTGGTATTCCGACTAAATTTCAATTTTAAGCCCAAAAGCAAATATTGTGAATCATTTCGTAAATTTCTCTGAATCAATGATATGGATCTCCACTAAAATATTTCCTCTCTCTCTACCAGTGCCGTATCTGTCCTTGGTCCGGCCTGGAGAGTTAGACTCTTGTCTGGCCTTTTACGTGAAAAATTACTAAAATTTACTTAGCCGATTTATTTCGCTTATTTCTTTTCGGTTACAAGTATATAGTGATTTATGTGCTAAAAATTAGTCAGGCATGCATTCAACGGGCTTCTGATTATTTCATATGCTTTTATACCGGTAACTGCACCACATGTTTCCCACCGTAAAAACCACTTTATCCCACCTGTCGTGGAGAAAAGCTAAACCCTGAATAGATCGTATACGCACATTGCACAACCAGGTTTTGAATGAATCGTAAATTTTTGAATACATTGGTGAAGCCTAGAATATTTATGGTGATAGGTAAGCACAATTTTGGAAAAAATATTGTCAATCTCAAAGATGACAATTTTTAACCTCTGATCCCAACACTAACAATGGAGGTCTTCCAACGTATGCTCACAGATTTGACCAGACTAGCGTCAAATATAATTAGTATGAAATTTGCAAGTGTTTTCCTTGCTCGTTTTAGTTTTGTATGGTCGGCTTAACTCAATTTAAGGATTCTGATATGTGGAAACCTTGGTGCAATTATTTTATACCAAAATACAGATATAGACAATATATAGAAACAAATATCTGCAGATATTGAACCATACGCTTAGTGGACAAATTTAAGTGTTTTTAAGGGATGGGATCAAAAATTCTGATCTCAGACTTTCACCATATTTTTTGAAAATTGTAGCTTTATCTAACTACGAATATTCTTACTTTCTGATATGCACAAACTTGGAATTCCGAAATTCTCGAGTTGCATTTAATTTAGGATTAAATTATAGTTTGTTACTATATGTATTTGCAAACTTTTTTAAATTCTAACTAATACAAGAGTTTTAAAAAACAGTTTAACACCGTTCTGCAAAGAATTGAAAACCGCGCTTCTAAAATTTGCCAAACATCCGATCAAGTACAAACCGATTTGTCATAATCTCCCAATTTCGAATGCTGCAAACGATAGATATGAGACTTGATTGACAAATTCCACGAAACATAAACTATCGAATAAGTTGCATTAAGACAATTTTGGTTATTGTTGAAATTAAAACCCAATGTGTACTTGCCTATTTTTTGTCAAGATTGATGCGGATTCGCATTTATCACACCCCACTTTCGTGCATTACAGCTCCTAGAGAAAAATGACGCATGAGTCTCAATTTGTTCGCGCGGAAATGTTAGAACGCATTCAAAGATTTTGACATAATTAGAGAAAAATATGTATCTGGAATTGTTATGAAAGACTTCGAAGGTCGGTTAGACCAAAAAATATTTGGTGACAGATACGGCACTGAGTAGGATCATGTATTTAGTGGTAGGGGCTAAGTGTTTAATGCACAATATTCGAAATATTTAGATACTGAAATTTTGCATGATCGGGCCACACAGACACATAGTTTCGTGAACTTATTAAGGCTCGATTGATTGGGTCACTGCCTTCACAATCATATTTGAAAAATTGTTTGCTTGGGTTATTAAGTAAACTTTGAAAATTTTTCAACTGAGAGGACTATATTATGCTACCTCAACCGATTTACAGATATCGTTCCAGAGAGCTTAAATTTGAATATTGTATCCCACTGGAGGTAATCTAAACTTTTCGGAAGTAAAACAAAATCAAGTTACCGATATTCTTTGTTTAAGTATGTAACCTTGGTTGGGAACGTTATGTATAAGTTATATGACCTATACTTCGAAATGTCCATTATATCTAGTTTCTGCATCACAGGTACCGGTACAGCCCTTCGGGCCGTCCGGCCTGGAGAGTGCTCTCCACCTAAAACCAGTGCTCCTACGGCCCTGCTCTCTACATAAATAAGTATTTATTTCCACGTAATCGTGTTCCACGTACATACATAAGGGCATCTTAACCACATACCGCATACACGTAATCAAGAGAAACAATGGTTAAAAAGTACGCAATTTGTGTCCTTAGTTACTGCAGATAATCAAGTACTTTTCTTGCTTAGATGGAAGACCTCCCGAACTACCCATGTAAACATGAACTTTGTCAAATTTTGGTAACACCTCTCCTTAATTTTTTAAACACGTTTTATCTTAAAATGTGATCAAACAAAATGTCTCTTGCGAAGCTCCTAAGCGTGCAAATTATTTGCGATTTGTATCTAAGACTTAATTCATATATTTTTCGTTGTAAAAATTACTTTATTTCGAAATTATTATTTAAGCCTGCTTTGTTATCTTTATAATCAAGTTTCTACTATTTTTCAGCTATAAATAAAACTAAAAATTCAATGTGTGAGGTATTTATGTAAAGACATTACTCTGAATTATGTACCTATATGTTTCTGGGAATTTTGAAAACTAATTATACATTCATTATACCAATGCCCATTAAAAAATTTACAAAAGTACTTTTTGTAATTATTTATGGACATAATTGTACATGTTTAATATCTAGTTTGTAAACCAGTATGTAACGAGCTGACACTGGAATAAAGAATTGCAAGAGTTAATAATCGAAGCCTTAGTTTGAAGAATTGTTAAAATGATCATGTTATCGAATAAAATTTTATGTATGTATCCTCTTAGAGAAAATAGTCCTTTGTCACACTGCCTGATAGATGAATAATAGCAAACATAATAGTAAAACAGCCTGTTCTCGAATTACTGAAATGAAAATGAATAAAACTGCGTCAATTTATTTTCGCATAATTTTTAATAGATAGAAAATTTTCAATATACAATTAATTATTAAATACAGGTGGCATGATCCTTGCAGGAATCCACTTGTTTGCATGGTTTACAATTTTGTCTTTGCTGATCCCAAATATTTCCAGTGGGGCACGACCTTTCATCCTTTGGTGACTTTGTGGTCTCCTTAAACCAATAATTCGGGCCGCAGATTTGATCAGCGTTCTGTCCATATTCACACTTTTCCCTGTCAGGAATGCAATTTTTGTCGTTTTTGTACTTTTCCTTTGTCGCTTCGTGAAGGAAATCCCATGGCGTGCATTGTCCTCCGGTTAGTTTAGCTGCTAAAGGGTTGGCATCGTCGACAAAATCACCCTCGGCACACTGTTCCAAGACCCAAGTTCCAGTCGCCGGCTTGAGCGGGTTTTCAGGCTCAACTCGGGCACAGCGGTAGTAAAAAGACTTCTTGTTGACACAGTAGTCGCATTGGTCACAGTCGTTCGGGTTACAGGGATCGCCTTCGGCGTATTTGCAATCACCAGGCGCTGGGGGATCGGTGGAGGCTTCCGTCGGAGGATGGGTGGGAGTTTCCGTTGGGGGATGGGTGGGAGCTTCCGTTGGGGGAGGGCTGGGATCAGGAATTGGGACTGCCGTCGTTGAACTGGAATTGTGACACGGGGTCACGTTGGGCCAATCACAAGTGTCGTTTTTCACATCGTAAACTAGATATGGATTTCCTTGGCAACCTTTTATATTGTTCACATCGCAATCTGGGCATGCCATATCCGAAGCGCGGCCATTACTACATGTAATAAATCTCGTGCAGTCATTTGGATGGAGATAGTTGCCGTTTTCTTTCGCAGAGCAGTCGTAGTATTTCACGTTATCAAAATTGGGGCGACGAGGCACCGCACTCTCGTCCAGGTCTTCATCGAAGGGGGCTATAAAAATTAGGAATTATTTGATTTGTAGGAGTTAATTGCTTAGGAGGAGAGTACGCCAAAATGATAATGACAGATCTTGATGTCCTTTGGATATATGGTAGTACCCCCTCTGAAAGTAAAAAGTGTGAAGCGGTTTGATGCCATGGCCCAATTTACGCCCGTCACACCCCTTTGAAGGCGCGCCCGATGCCAAACTAGCTGCACTAAAAAATTCGCCAAAAATCCAATTTTCTTCGGATTTTCATAATAGTTACATATTTATGATCCCAAATAGTTGCTTTGTCATATCAGATATCAATCTGAACTATTTTGGTATTTTGAATTTTTTCAAGCCATGCCCTTTTCAGGAAATATTCGAAAATATTGAAAATTTCTGAAAAGTTAATTTTGCAACTGAATATGATAAGGGGACTATCTGGGATCACAAATATATAATTATTATGAAAATCCGAACAAAATTGGATTTTTGGCGAATTTTTTAGTGCAGCTAGTTTGGCATCGGGCGCGCCTTCAAAGGGGTGTGACGGACGTAAATTTGGCCATGGCATCAAACCGCTTCACACTTTTTACTTTCAGAGGGGGTACTACCATATATCCAAAGGACATCAAGATCTGTCATTATCAGGTTGGCGTACTCTCCTCCTTAGAAGGAATACGTATGATGAAAATATTAAGGTGATAAATATTTAATGTGGTCTTCAAGCGTCATTGTTTTTGATCTAACTGTATCCCAATTTTGGGAGTTTCGAAAATCGATTCAAGTTCATTATTTAGTTTTGAGATAAATTCGATTTTTATGACTTATCTAAATATAAATTAAAGTATGGGACTACGAAACCATGAGCTTGAAAATATGTGGTTAATTGGTTTCGGGGAAAAGATTTAGATATCTATGCAAATGAGCAAGTAAAAAAATGAAAAAAGAAGAAATTTAAAAAATTCCAATAATTGCAATAGTTGGTTTCGTATTACCAACAATTAACTTGATACTGACGTATTTAGCAAAAGGCGCATTTAGTATTCTTGAAATTGATGCCGCTTTAGAAATTTTCGTGTACATATATTGACGTAATGTTGGGAGTCAGTTCAATTAAGCACCTTAATTATAATATAATTGAAAAAATAAATAGTATACCAGCAATAACTGCACCGACAGCTAGGATTAGGACGGCCAAGTTTTTCATGATGAAGCAGGTTAACCTCAATAAGGGATCAGTTAACTTTAAGGAAACGGTTCTTCGAATGATTTCGATTCCAAGAAATGAGTCGCATTTTATACCATTGCTAAATAATTGGAGATATGTACATGAGTGTGCTTATCCTATGCCTTACAAATATCGGTGCACGTGCCATAGATCAGCAAAACCCATCAAGCCGAACCCTGACGTAATTATTTGGGTTAAATCAATAATGCATCTTTTAAATTGCATACATATGTACCTATGTACATACGACCTATTTATTTACAGGATAATGCAAGCCTCGGCAATCGATCAGACGAATAAGTAAATTGAATTGAGAACGATAAGCGAGTGTCAACCTCATTTTAATTAAATGACACATTCCTCCATAAGTGCAGGAGATAAGGCTATAAATAAAAATGTCATGAACAACAAATGCGAAATTTATTTGTGTTAAATAAATATGACCGATTTATGGTAATCTTGATTCTTAGGCTACTGTGTAGATTAAGAACATGAATTTCAACGAAAAAGGGTTTTATCAATTGAATGAGATTAGAAAATGGGGTGGAATTTAATGTGACACATTTTCTGGATACCGGGATCCCCGATAAGTGGAGAAAATAAGGCGAAAAAATTTGCAAGTGTAATATGATTCAATATGATACATTTTTTGGGGAGTGCGCATTATATTTGATTAAGTGGAGTCCCTGTCATTGAATGTAACGTTACAAGCCTTCAAGCGCCAGGATTTCATTAATGCAAAAATTTCGATAAACGATGACCTAATTGTGCATTATTTTACGTCACCTGGGGTGCGAAATAAACAAATATCTTTGTCTCATCTGCACAGTACATAGTTAAAGAATGAAGATAACCATAAATCGGTCATATTTGTTTAACACAAGCTCATTTCCCACCCCTTCTGCGTGACATTTGTAGCTATGCCCTTATCTAGGGCAGTTATGGAACTGTGTCATTTAATTAAAATAAGGTTGGCACTTGCTTATCGTACCTGATACTCACCATCAGTTCAATACGTTCGTGTGAACGATTGCCGAAGTTTGCATGATCAATGCTGGAATGCAGTAAATAAATAGGTCGTGTGCAATTTAACAGGTGAATTATTGATTTATGTAACACATGAGGGTTCGACCTGATGGGTTTTGGTGAACTTTTACGGGTGTACCGATATTTGTAAGGTGCGATATGCATACGTATTTACATATGTATGTACATATCTCCCACTAATTGGCGATGGTATAAAATGGGACTCATTAATTTGCATCGAAATCATTCTAAGAGGCGATTACTCAAACTCAACTGATCCTAATCGACCATAACCTGTTTCATTATGAAAAACTTGGCCGTTTTGATTTTAGCTGTCGGTGCCGTTATCGCTGGTATGCAATACGTGTTAATCTAATATTTAATATTTAACTTCCTAATTGCGTTGAATTTCTGTAATATCTTTAACCCTTGGTCACTGCCTTTATATGAATATTTCTAATCAAGGGGTTTTTAGGTAAATGCGAATTTCGAAGTGTAACGCTAATTTTTGATACTACGAATCCAACACAGATCAAAATACGCTCATTTATTTACCATCTTTAGCAAGTTTGCGTAAGCACGATCGTACATTTAAGCCACAAAAGTTGCATTTATGAAACTCAAAGTTCACGAAATTGAATTGATTCTAGACATTTCAAATTAAAGTCCCCAACTTTGGGTACAGCGAGACGAAAAATAATGGCGCATCGACGTATCATCCTGTATTTGAGTGTAGCATCTTAAAGTGAGCCTCAATAAGACGCCCGTCTCATTCCGTCCCAGATGTCATGTTTCCTTATGGAGAACATTTAAAGTAATAACATTTCAATTTCATGGAATACTAATGGCGAAATACTAATTTGAAATTCTCTATAAGCAAGTATGACACACTTCTGGACGGAATTAGACGGGCGGGAATGACTCATCGAGGCTCAACCAGGGTTCGGAAAACCCAACCCCGGGGGTTTTTCCGGGGTTTTTGGGGTTTTTGTGGGTTTTTGGGTTTTTGTGGGTTTTTGTGGGTTTTTGTAGATTTTGGGGCAGGTTGAACCAGAATTCCTAAAATTATATATTAGAGATAAACTAATTTAGTGTACAATTTTAACATGCAATTTTAACCGTTATCATTGATTTGGACTTTTACATCGAAAATTCATGTTTGACATGTAAACCTGGAAATATGTAATGATATTTGGCAATTCAAGTCGCAAATGAAAATTCTCAAATTTCAAGATGAAGCAGAAAAGTTAATTAGCATTGATCTACGTTGTAGTTTAAGGGATTTTGTTTCAATCTGCCTCAAACTCCTACAAAAACCCCGGAAAAACCCACAAAAACCCACAAAAACCCGCAAAAACCCCATTAAGCATTAGGGTTTTTCCGGAGATTTGATACCCCAAAAACCCACAAAAACCCCAAAAACCCCAACCCACAAAAACCCGGGGTAGCGAACCCTGGGCTCACCTTAATATTTCCTTCGCTCCACATAACACTAATTCTTCTTCATTAACTAATACAAATTTAGTACATACATTTTAATTTCCAACAGCTCCCTTCGATGAAGATCCAGGCAAGAATGGAGTCCCCAATCGCCCAAATTATGATAAAGTAGACTACTACGACTGCTCTGGGAAGGAAAACGGCCTCTATCTCCACCCGAATGACTGCACAAGATTTATTACTTGTATCGATAGCCGAGCCGCTGATTTTTCTTGTCCTCCTTGCGACCTGACCAATTCGAGCGGCTGCCGTGGAAGCCAATACTTAGTTTACGACGTGGACAAGCATACCTGTAATTGGCCCAACCAGACAAAATGTCACACTTCCGGTCCAAAATTCCTGATTCCAAACAATTGATAAAAACCAGTAAATCAGCAAGGATGTATTTAAATACACCAGCGAAATAATATTCGTATTCATGTGATAGACAAAAGAAAAATGCACACATTATCATAACGCTAAGTTATGTACATAGATATGCCTATATACCCTACATCCATTTGAGTTTGAACCGTGGCTAAATACTGAGCAATGTTAAAAACGGGGTTCCTTATGGAGCTAGATTTAGCCATGGTCAAACTCAAATGGATGAAGAGTATGCCTGCCGTTATAATAAATTTATGCATATAAAAATGTGAAATCCAAAAAAAAATCAAATTTTTACATCGGACTTTTCGTGCATCTTGAAATGAATGGGTGCTTAAATGCATATGCCTGCATACTTATTAGGATTAGATATGAAACTCCCTGTCATTGTATAAAATTAACTTGTTCTTCCGAACCTTAAATCTGTTGATCTTTTATTTTTATAAAATTGTGCTTATCCACCTAACATAAGAATCTTCTGCCAATCAATTAGTTTGGGCAAGGTCCATGCACTCCAACTCTTACGTTATCATTATCACGATTGGAATGATGTAATAGTTCGCATTTCATATCAAAGTAAATTAACTGAATCTGTTAGCCTACGTGCCAATCAGACGTTATTCCCACCGAGATAGATCGTTCATGCAACCAATTCACCCTTAACGCCTGATGACGCTGGTCAACACCAGGGCTTAATTTATTTATCGTGTTTGAGCTCGGTCCTTGCGACTACCCGTCCCAAGCGTAACTCTGATTGAGAACCGTAGAGCTTAAGTGTCTGGTCTTAAAAACAAGACCCGTTGGTCAAGAAACTATACTTGAATGCAAAATAAACTGAGAAAGAGATACTCTTTGGCTTTACTCTTCTTTACACACCAATTTATTTACACAAAAGCAATTAATTAGAGAATAATTTCAAACTAAATATATTAATTCTCTCTAAACTGTGAATGACACGACCAGTTCTTTGTCCTTCGTCAACTCAACTGCGCATTCACACAAAAAACGCTCCTTTTTTACCAATTTGAGACGCCCGCTCGGAGTCTCACTTTTTCCATGTGAAATTACTCATTTTCCAAAATACATACATGAAACTAAATATCATATTAAATATGGAGATTTATGGCTAAATCCAACATATCGCAATTTTTAATCAACATTTTAAATCTTTAATAAAAACTTTTACCGTGCCATCTTCTGCATGTGTGCTCCCCACCATTTATTTTTAACTGTTACAGGTTATGTAACAAGGGAGGCGAAGTTCGACAAGAACTTGAACTCTGTTCTGGACAGGATGATAAGCAAAGTCAATTACGATATTGATTGTCATACGCAGTATAAATTTGAGACCAATTCAAGTCTTTCCAATAATTCGTCTTCAACATGAATCCGAGCACAACCATTATAATTATCGTCTTTCTCGTCGCTGGGGCCACAGGTATGAAAATAAATACCCTACAAATTTTACTTCCGATTTCTACCTTACCCCAGTTATTTAGCTCTGAATATGCATCCCAGGCTGCACAATCACGAGATTATCACCAATTTTTAACGAATCTGGCGACCCCAGTTTTCGTGTTAGCGACGTGGGAGACTGGTATAGATTTGGTGCTCAACTGGGTGCAAGTGTCGCGATTTTTAACGTATCTTATTCGTTCTAAACACGTGTTGAAGGAACGAGTTTCGCGACCAAATCACGAGAATAACCCCAAAAAAACACGTATTAAAAAGTGAAATTATACGTTCAGAACACGAGATTTATTTGCAAATTAGATGCGGGAATTATGATTTATTACTGACCATTAACATTACATAAAGTTTTAAATCCAAATAACAATAAAAAATTGTGAAAAAAATCAATTGTCTGATTCTGGTCCAGTATTTCTTAATGGAAGAGCTGCATTGGACTTCTCCAACTTTTTCCTAATTAAATAAAGTAAAAATTATGAAAGTTTTATAAATACGTACAAATAATATTGCATTTTGTCCTACCTATCCGATTCAATACGCTTGTTGGAATTTTTGAGCCAATTTTTAATTGCTTCCCAAATCTCGTCGTCGTCAGCGTTGCCCAAGTTTTCCAGTCCTTGAATTGCCTCTGAAAACACAGCAATTTCATTGGTGAATTTAATTTAAAGGAGCGCATTATATATTTAATTAATTCACATACAACTAATTTACCATATATAATGTGCTTCATCCATGATTTTGAAAAAGGTGACTTCGGTCCTCTTGAACCAATCCAGTTGTATGACGATGCATACTTATCTGTCAGCAACTTGGCTAGTATCCGCTGTGTAGCAATCTTTACATCCTTGGTCGCACGTATGCCTTTCTGCAGTTCTGTAATCTGTCAAAGTTGCAACAATTAATATATGCATAGTTAAAAATAGCAACATGAATAATACTTATATAAATACTTATATTATTACTTATATTATAATACTTATATTACGCCACATTATTACGCCGCAATATTATTTGATAAATATTTTACCAATGTGATTCTTGATGCCTTGGCGAAATCCTCGAGTTTCTTCAAGTCAGACTCATCATCCACTGGTAATAAACCCACTGGAAACTTTTCGTTTTGACCACCCGTCTTGGTCCCCCAAGTTATTTATTACTGAGACATTACATAAATTGTCACACACCTACCTAAATTTCCTGCGTTTGGTAACGTGCCATTATCTCTGCCGAAAGTTGTATCAATGTCCTCTGCCTGAGGAATCGAACGGCTTTCCAATTCGTGAGAGCTAGATAAAACTTGCTCGCTAGAGAGTGTGCCTTGGTATTGCTGTGAATTAGTTGGCGATGGGGGGTCACTCGGTCCTGGTAAACTTGATTCGTGGCCGTCTTCCTTTTCTGATTGCAAGCCCTCTCCCACTAAACCTGGATAAACAGTATTATTTATTATACTACTTTTTTGGTGCAATGGAATATAAAAAATGCGGGATTTTAACTTACTAAAATATTGTGGTGGTGGCGGTATTGTCTTCGTGGGAATAGAACGATTTTGCTTCATTTTGGGCGGTTCTTCTTCACTATCGGAGTCGCCGGGCGGTGGTAGATGAACAGTTTTCTTGTGTCGTTGCCCTCGACCAGTTACTTCCAAGTCGCTCTCAAATTCCGGATCAGTTTCTTCCAATGCTTTTCCAACATTATTTTTTGCTTGATTATAAGAACCTTAACAAACAAATAAACAGCATTTTTCTTTCTTATAAATAACTTTATCAATGTATGCAATAAAAAAGACTCACCAAATATTTTGCCTCCACCTAAAACTTTTACGTCAAACGATAACCAAACTTGCTGATTTGGCGTGTCCCCATTCATGACGGCCTTCGATTGGCGTTCTGAAGATTTGTACGGCGGCCACCAACATTTATTTTTACTTGCTGACAGCCAATTGATTGGGATAATTTCTACCTCGTCAGTTTCAACAAAAGGAACTATAGAGTACGGCATTGTAAAAAGTCACTGAATTTCACTGTGAATCAAGGGATAGCATATAAATTCAGTCTCAAATGGAAGTACTACACATTTTGATTCGATTAAATTAATATTAAATCTTCGTACTGCACTCAAGTCGGAGATAAGTTGAACACCAATTAAAGAAGAAGGACAAGGAGATTGAAAAAAATCTTCACGTTTTTTAAACTTCTGTCCAAATAATTCTGAAGGTGATCCTCCAACAAAATGGTGAATTTTAATTATAGTTCCATCTTTTAGTTTGCAAAAATTGTTCCCTAATTTGTTGGATAATTCGAAATTTGCAAACTTACACACTTTGAAACACTCGGGTGAATTAATGTCGACTTGGAAAAACGATACTTGACAAACTGGCTGCTTGAAAGAGGACAGGTCTATTTTTTCTCTTTCAACTAACCGCCGGTAAACTTGTTGCAAGGGGAGAGATGGAGATCTCACCAATCTCTTTATTTGTTGTAACTTATTTTCAAACGGGAAAGCACTAAATTGGTCAAGGGGACCGTGTCGAATGCAATCCCGGGATAAATGTAGTAAATTATGAAGATTATGACTGTTATACTTTTTCCCATATAATTCACCAAAGTTATTAACGAAATATATTAGTAGCTCTTGTGCATACTTATTTTTACTCAGATAAGTGTTAGGATTTGCAAGAATCGTGATGGCTACGTGGAAACACAAAAAATGCTGGTAAAATTGAGGAGCAAGGATTTTCTTCAAAACTGTGGGGCCAGTATATAAAATAAACTGTCTGTATTCAGTTGCTTTCCAGTGTTCGAGATCTCTAATTGGACGTGGTTTTCTTGAAAATTCTTTTGGTATTGAGGTTTTGATTTTTAGCAAATTAGTGGATAATTGGTCAACTTGGTGAGGACGCAGACGACCTGGACATTTTTTTCCTTTCACCCATAAAAATAGTAATTTTCTGGTCACTCCCAGGCACACAAGATGCATAAAATCGACTGGCAAATCTTCTACTAAATCAATGGGTAGTAATTCTATTCTTGAGGCTTGATTATGATGTGCTGTATCTAATTTTGATCGGAAATTTTCGTTATTTCTTAAATTATAATTTCCTGGTGGAAAGGTAACTCTATTATCCAAATATTCACCCTTTATGTCACACTTTCCACAAGAACTATAACCATTATGACACTTTGTCCCCAAAATAAATGATCTTGCTGGGACGTCACACACAATTGCAGATATTTTAAGTTTTAAATTCGAAGATTGCTCTATGGTGTTGAATTCGTTGACAAACTGTCTCAAAAAATTATTAAAATTTGTAGGTTTTCCAAAACCAGAATAAATTCCAATTACAACGACCTGATTATATTCTACAATTTTCGCTAAAATGGGCCAGAATTGTCTTGTGCTGCTTTTATAGAGGGGGATTCCGTCAATATTAATTTGAATTTTAATATAGTCTGCTGTTGGAACTTGAATTAACTTTTCGACGGATGAAATCCACTCAAAATGTACGTATTCGCCAGGCTCCACCTTTTCAATTGTAGTCGATCTTGGAGTGCATAAAAGTGTTCTAGGATCTTTCGGTAAATCAAAATTAGGATGTCGATTCAAAATTTCTAGCAGATCTCCTAAAGCAGAGAATGTAATGTTATGCTTTAGTGCCCACCCCCTTAAATCACTTGCACTACTTTCCGTATTAGACTGTTCAGAATCACTATCACTTAGATTTGACTGCGTGGATAAATTATTGTCAGAATAATCCGAGATGTCATCTGCTTCAAAAATCAAATATTCGGGTGATGGTGAACTCTGTGTGTGTGCCTCTGGCAAGGATGACGAGGGCAGCGGTATTATTTTTTCTGCACTTTCTGAAATTAATGCAAAATCCGAATTTCCTTGCCTTACTTTTTGGAATATTTTTCTTGATCGTGCTTTCTCCATTACTCATCTC